GCGGCGCGGGGGCCGTGGTCACCGATACTCTACTAACCACGAGCAGCGGCAGGTGGGCGGGGGCTTCGTCCGGACGCGCACTTAGTACGTTTCGGAATTTCTAGCCACGGGGTGTCCCCCCGACACCAGTGAAACAAAGTGTGTCCCCTGCGACTGAAGAATTAAAGGTTTAGAAGGCCGCACAGAGCTCAGAACACGGGCACACGGCAGGCAGAGGAGCCCTGAGTGGGGCCAGTGGGCTGCGCCCACGCGTCTGCGGCTGGGACCCCGGACCCCGGTTGTGCCAGGTGCTACCCGGGGGGCACCGGGCGGGAGCTACGCGGGCTCGCTCGGATTAGGTCTGACGCCTGCCCGTGGCTCTACAATCAGCCCAACGTGAAAAACTGAACGATAAAGAATTAGAAGTAGAGTCAGATAATCTGAAAACAACTTGGGTCCAGGGTTTGGGACAGGCTGGACCAGCGAGCAGCCCGACACCGCAGGCCCTGGCTCCAGGGCGCGGCCCCTCTGGGCAGGCAGGCAGCAGACGGACCCCCCTGGGAACGTGCCGGCTCCAGGATCACCTGCTCCCACCAGGAAAAGCCTCGCTGGCTTTAAAACAAAAGCAAGGGCCTGGCCGGTGTGGCTCAGTGGTTGAGCAGCCAGGTCGGGGTTCGCGTCCCAGTCGGGGCACGTGCCCGGGTTGCGGGCTCCATCCCCAGCAGGGGCCCTAGGGGCAGCAGACAGGCGTTTCCCAATCACCCATGTTTCTCTCTCTTTCAAATCAATAAAAATACAAATATATTTTTTAAATTCTCACCCAAGTGTGTTTTTTCCATTGCTTTTCAGAGAAAGTGGACGCGGGGGAGAGAGAGACATCGATCGGTTTCCTCCCACACAGGCCCCGACCAGGGCCAGGGACCGAGCCCACAGCTGAGGTGCGTGCCCTTGGCCAGAATCGAACCTGGGACCCTTCAGTCCGCAGACCGATGCTCTAACCACTGAGCCAAACCGGCCAGGGCCATAAAAAATATTTTTTAAACATAATAAAATAAAAACTAAATGCAAGATACTCACCCACGTAGATCGGTTCGCTCCACTCGCTCCAGAGCCCCGTCTCCCTGCACACGGAGCTCACCGCTGCTCTCACTTCAACGCAATACTTAGAAACGTCACTAATCGTGGAGGTGAATTTATTGGTCGTCATTTTCCCTGTCTGGGGAAAAAAATTAGCTTTATAGTAAATCTCTCGACAGACACATCAGTTAAGTCAGGCCAGTGATCAGAAGGGGGGGTCGTGCATGAGGAGACTCGCTGTCCGGCGGCCGTTTCCGGTCAACAGGACACGTCGGTCGGTGGGTTTATTCCAGGCTGCTGCGGGGCTGGCAGTCGCCCCCAGGGGGAGGCTCTCTCGTAACCAAAGGAAATGAAACGGGGGTTTGTAAGGTCGAGATGACTCACCTGGGCCCCAGTGATGTTCCCAGGTTGAGGGACCGGAGTGGCCGACCCCCATTGTGTCCCCCTTGGTCTCCTCCCAAATGTCTCGGTGCCCCTGGCTTTCTACCTTTTTCGCATCCGCAAACTACAACCCCTGGGCCCCGCTGGCCTGCCAACTACAGATGCTTTATGCGCCTTTAAATGACTGAAAGCTACCAAAGGAATATTCCATGACACGTGGCGATTACACAGAGCTGGGGTTTCGGGGTCCACCAGCAGTGTCGCCGGCGCACACCCATCGCCCGCGCCCGCTGGCCTCTGCACCCCGACGGCTGCGTCTGTCCTGCACGCGGAGCTGAGTAACGGTGGCCGAAACCATGCCACCTGCAAGGCTGACGATAGCTGGTCCTTGACCAACAAAGTCTGCTGGTCCCTGGCCGGCGGCTGTGGGGCGGGCGGAGTGGGGGCGGGGTGCACAGGGCACCAGAGAGCAGAGGCCTTAAGGGCGGCTGAATCCTGGCTCCACCTGCAACTGCCCGCAGGACAGGCCTTGACCTCTCGGGGCCTCGGTTTCCCCGTCTGTAACATACAAACAATCGACCTAAGTCGGGGACCATTGCGTTTAACGGAAGGACCTTCGTACAGCCTACGGGTAAGAAAACCTAGATGGAATTACAGGGAGACAGCCAGTGTTCAACCCCTTTTTGATGGAAAAAACAGCGATTCTGGCCCTGGCCTGTGCGGCTCGGTTGGCTGAGTATTGTCCATGCACCAAAATGTCGCCGGTTCGATTCCCGGTCGGGCACAGGCCCGGGTTGCGGGCTCGATCCCCGGTCGGGGGCGTGCAGGAGGCAGCCGGTCCAGGTTTCTCTGCCTCTCCCTTCCTCTCTCTCTAAAATCAATAAAAATCTATCTTAAAAATAAACAGCAATTTTGGGTGGTTCGATCTGGTCATGTGTGCTCAGCTGCCGTAGGCAACGTACGCTGATTTTATCTAGTGCAGCCACGAGGCTGTTTTCTCACAAAGGAGTCCTTCTCCTACGTTCCCCCTACTCAGTGTCACCACCATCCAGCTAGTCCCCGAGGCCCCAAACCAGAGACGTGTCCCTGACCCCTGCACCCTCAGAACTCCTGGGAGGGTTGACCCGGCCGCCCCCGCCCCGCGAGCACTGCTTATTTGAGCTCTAGTCCGCTTGTGCTCGGACCGTTGCAGTAGCCATTAGCCGGCATCCCTGTGTCCCAGGGACCCCGCCCCGCCCAGCGTTCACGCCATTGCCAAAGTCACTCTTTGGTTCTGCAGATGGGGTCACAGTTCTGCAGTGAGTGAAAAACTGTCAGTGGCTTCCATTGCCTGGGTCTCGTTTTAAAATGGTTTAAAAAGATAAACCATTTTTCTTTCTTAACCAAGTTTTAGCATCCTTCTGGGAGAAGTCACCTTGTAATATGTGTTGAATCGAATGGGATGGAGTTTGCTTTGCCCGCCGTTGCTAAGACGTGAGTCTGAGCCCCGGCTCCCCTGTATTTCTCCAGCTCTGTGACTTCGGGCAAGTCGCTTAGTCCCCCTGAGCCTCACTTCCCTGCGAGCGGGAACGGCGATTACACAACAGTCACTGCGAGGGGCCTGGCACACAGCGGGCGCTCGACGCACCGTGGTTCTCTTCTCGGTTCCTTTCCCCTGAACTTTTTGTCCGTTAGTGTTAACGAGCTGTTGTTGTTTTGAGTTGTGGTAAAACGCACATACCATAAAATTTACTGTCTTTACTATTTTTAAGTGCACAGCTCAGCGGCGGTGCCGACCCCCTGCACAGCTTTCATCTCGCAAAACTGAAACTGTCCCCGTTAAACACCCCGGCCCTGGAAACCACCATCTACTTTCTGTCCCTCGGAGTCTGCCCGCGGCTGGTGCCTCACGGGAGCGGAGTCGCCAGTATCTGTCTCTTTGTGCCCGGCCCGCTCCCTTCGCACGGTGTCCCCAGGGTTCGTCCAGGCCGCAGCGGGCTCAGAGCCCCCTTTTTAGGGCTGAATAATGTTAAGACTATACTTTCAGGGGTCATTTCTATAGGACTGAATGACACTGCATCTTACGGATGAACCGGATTTTGTTTATTTGTTCGTCTGGACACCTGAGTGTTTCCTCCTTTCGGCTCCTGCGAGTGATGCTGCTGTGAATGTGGGGCGCGGGTTTCTCCTTGAGACCCCGCTTTCCGTTCCTCCAGAGTTATGCCCCAAACTGTTGGGTCGTATGGCAATGCCATTGTTAATTCTTGAGCAGTTGCCGTGCTGTTTCCCACAGTGGCCGCACCATTTACACGTCCACCAACGGCCCTGCTGATGAGCTTTTACCTAATACTTCGGGTTATTTTCAACCAAAAGTGTGTCCTTGCGAGAGAAAAGGCCGGCACGGTCCATGCCCGCAAAGCCCGGGTTGGGGTCGGTCGTCGCCGACCTCGGTCGTTCAAGCTATAACCAGTGGGGCCCTGAAGGTAATTTTTTCGGTGTTTCTGCAGGAACGCGGTCACCTGGCACCGCGAGTGGGAACGACCCGAGGAATTACCTGAAAGTAGCCCGTCCCCGTGCTGTGAATCTTCACTTCGTAGTCAAAGCAGTGGGCCGGGAAGGCGGAAACGGGCTTCTCCCACTCGATGGAGAGCCGGGTCCCTTCCATCTCCGCCGTGACGTTCCCCGGAGGGTTCACTTGATCTGGGTTCGAGAGGGAGAGGCCGGTGAGCGGGCCGGTGAACCCAACACCGATCTCCGAGCCCAGGGACTCGAGGGGCCGCCCCGACTCCCGTCTAGTCGCACGGAGGAAGGGGTCCCCCTGCGACCACCGAGGCCCCTGCTCCCCAAGGCACCGAATGCAGAGGCTCGTCCCCCTTCCGCTCCCGGCGGCACCGCCCCCGGCCCTTCTGACTCCCCGAGAAGCCCGGGCGCCCGCCGCCCGCCGCCTCCCCCGGGCAGGTGCGCGGCCCTGGATGGCCGCTTCCCTTCTCTGGGCGGCAGCTTTCGCTTCCTGTGTCGTGCGCCCCGTTTTGGTTTGTTTGGGGGGTACCGGCGGAAGGCTTGAGTCTCCTCTGGCCTGGAAAGAACGGGCAGGGCTGACGTCGCCTTTACTTGCACAGGAGCTAAGTCCCTCCCCCGAGGCCTCGCTTGACTGTCTCCGGTGGTGACACGTGGGTGGAAATTATTTCTAAGTGAGTGACCTTGTCTTAGGGCCTGTGACTAAGATCTCAGAGTGAATGAGTCACGGGGACAAGCCAAGAGCGGGCCCCTGGGCCCCGGAGCCTGCCACCCCCCAGCCAGGAGACGTCTAACTAAAGAAGTCTTGTTTTAGTAACCGAGGAATTGGTCTCCACGAAATGAAAACCGTGCACAGGACCGAATTCCCGTGGCCAGTGTACTGGGCCGTGTCCATTTTCGTGTTAATTTCACTGCCTCCCATGTCCTCGGCATTTCAGTTATTACCTCTTGTCGCAAAAGCGACACTTTAAAGTCACCTAGGAAATAGGACATTGAAGAGAATCACACTGCTCGGCAGTAAGGGCTGTGATGCTTAAACAAAATTATATTCCGTTTAATATAAACAGGGTGTCCCCCCAAAATGTGTACACGCTTCGAATAATTATTAACTCCAGTGGGTTAAATCTGAAAAGAAAGAAACATCAACTGAGCCACCAGATGTTAAAGTGTGGACACGTTTTGGGGGGACCCTGTAGATAAGTCCTCTAAGGAATAATATTTTGCATATTTATTAGATGCCTGTGCAAGGCCCTGTTCTAAGCCCTTCATAGGTATTAACACACTTCATTCTCACAAGCCTTGTGGGAACTGCTCCTTTCCCCCCATTTTCCAGGTAAGACTGAGGCACAGAGACACCACCAGCTTGCCTAAGGGCCGAGCTGGTCAGCGAGGAGCCAGGCCCCAGGCCGGGGGCCCCGCAGGCCCCGCTGAGACCTCGGGGTCAGCCACCAGGCTGCCGCGTGAGGGGCCCCGACGGGCCTCACTGATGCGAGTACCCAGGAGGAAGGCGAACACCCTCCATCCGAGCAAATGAAACCTTAAGCGGCGCGTTTCCGGCCGAGCCTCGCAGCCGAGAGACGGACCCAGCGGTGAGGGTCGGGAGGCCGGGGGGCGGCTTGGGCACCGGAGAGCTCAGGACGGAAACCAGCCACCCCGGGGGAGCCCCTGGGGAAGGGCTCAGGATCGCCCGGGGCCGCCCAGGGCGCCCCAGGACCCCGGCAGAGTCCTCGCACCTCCAGAGCAGCTGTGAGGTGACGTGACCTCCTTCAGCGGGGAGTTCGCTCCCCTTCCCGGGTGCAATGTTCTGCCCCCCAAGGGACAGGCGGCTGGAACTGTCCGGAGACATTTCGTTGTCACACTGGCAGGGGAGGGGCCCCTGGCATCTCGTAGGGACAAGCCAGGGGTGCCGCTGAGCCTCCCACAGCGCGGCCCGGCCCCC